GTGATCAGATCAGCTTCTGGGAATACTACGAATTGGGTGTTGTTGGATAAAATTCCCTGTAAATAGCTATTAAGCCCTTTTGGGTGGTGGTGTCATTTAATTCAGAGCCTTCCTTGCTTATCTTTTGTTTGGTTCACCTGCCCTTTGGTAAGAATGGAGTTTTAAAGTCTATTCTATTATTGTGTTGGGGTCTTCCCATGTTCTATAAGGCCAGGAGTGCTTCTGGAATGCATGTAGGTGCTCCATTGTTTGGTGCATAAATATTAACCACTGTGATCCACCTTTGCACGTCATTCCCTTTATTAATACGTAATGACTTTCCTTGTCTCTTTGCACTGATTTTAATGAAAAGTCTGTTTTATCAGATACCAATATAGCTACTCCTGCCTTCTTGCAAGATACAATTACAGGAAAGATCTTTTTCCATCCCTTCACTTGGAAATTGTGTTTATCTTTGAAAGTGAGACGTGTTTCATGGAGACAACAAATGGTTGGATCTTGTTTTTTTGGTCCTGACTGCTTCATTACATCTTTTTATTAGAAAATTGAGCCCATTGATATTTAAGGTTCTTGGTGTGAGATAAGCCATGTCAGCTGTGTTTGTGTTGCTTGCTTCTTTCTTCTTCCTATTTTACTATTCTAATCCCCTAGTGATATATATATATATATATATATATATATATATGTATATTGCTGCTTATTTGTTTGATATTGATTGTCTTCGCTGATACCATGTGTTCCTGTAAGATCGTTTGTAGTGCTAGTTTAGTGTTCATGAATTCCTGTAGTTTTCGTTTATCTTAACTTTCTTCATCTTTTGAGAATGACGACTTCACTGTGTACTGGTTTAGATGATAGTTGTTGTCATTCAGATATTGAATTCTATCTCTCTAGGCTTTCCTTGCATTTAGAGTTTGTGTTGAGAAATCTGTGTTTATTCTTCTTTCTATTGTAATAAAGTTTCCTCTTTGATTTTGCTGCCTTTAACATTAATTTCTTATTTTCTAAATCCAGAGGTTTTACCATGTGTCTGGAAGTGTTTCTTGTCGAGTCATGTCTGAGTGGAGTTCTGCCATGCCTCTCTCACATGGCTGAGATTCTCTTTCTTGAAATTAGCATTTTTTTGAGCATTTAGTTTCTAATTCTTCTTCAGTGGTTATTCAAATTACATATAGTTTTGATCTTTTGGCAAAGCCTAGTCCTTCTTGAATGACCCTATAGCATGTTCTGAGTAGTTTTTCAATTTTTTTGACATTTGTTCAAATTCATCTCCTTTATCACCAACCCTTGATACCATATTTTCAACTTCTTTTATTGTATTGCCTATGCTTTCAACTGCGTTTTGTAATAGAGAACTAGAGCTCTTCATGCTTTCCAGATCTTTACTGATATCATTTCACATATTCCACATTTTCTTATGTGTCTAACTTCTCTTGGTATTCTAGATTTTCAAGAATCTGCTTTTATTTCATCAGCCATTTTTGAGTCAGAGGTCATTTTATTATTTCATTGTTGAATATGTTTTGTTATCTGGGAGTGTTACATTCCTTTGATATCTTACATTTCTTGTATTTTTGTGATGGGTTTTACCCATCAGAAGACATTTTTAGTACAGACTTTCAGGAACCTGAAAGTTACTGGTTACTGTTATTTTAAAGTAACTGTTACTTTAATGACTTAGCATTTCTTTCCTTCCTTCCTTCTTTCTTTCGTTCTTTCTTTCTTTTCTTTCTTTCCTTCCTTCCTTCCTTCCTTCTTTCTTCTTGCTGGGGATTAAACTAAGCTAGCACTGTCCCTGAGCTTCTTTTGCTCAAGGCAAGCACTCTACCACTTGAGCCATTGCACCACTTCTGGCTTTTTTTTTTTAGTAGTTTATTGGAGAAAAGAATCTCACAGACTTTTCTGCTCAGGCTGGCTTCAAACCACAGTTCTCAGATCTCTGCTTCTTGAGTAGCTAGGATGACAGGCGTGAGCCATGAGCACCTGGCGATTCTTAGCCTTTCTTATTTTTTACTCTCTTAAATTCTCCTATATTGTTGTTGATTTTTGAGGGTGGTGAATTGCCTTGTTTATTCATGGATTTTGTTATTATTCACTGTGACTTGCATATCTGGGTTCAGAGCTTGTGAGGCTGTTGGGTGTAGGCCCAGGAGTGAGGGTGTGGGGTATGGGGTGTGGAGTGTGGTAGTGTGGCGTTTCACTGCATTTCATGCTGGTATGCTCAGCCTTGACTCCTTCTAGAGTCTTCTGTTACCCCACTCTGAGTTTTCTGTGGGAAAAAACATGGAGGTCCTTGGATGGCGGACACTGGGGCCTGCACCAAATGGTGAGCGCCATTTGTATCAGTGCATCTGTCTTTTTCCAGGCCTTCGGGCTCTCAAATTTGAGGTTGTAGATAGATTTCTCTCCAGGTGTGGTGGGTCCACAGAACCCAGGAGCAGAAAAGTCAATAACAACAAAAGAAGAGGAAAAAAGAGTGGCTGTCTGGTATTTTTCATTGAGATTCAGAAGATGTTTAAGTTTGTTTGGTTTTTTCTTTCGTCTTTAGAAGTCTGAAGCTTCAATACCTTGGGTTGGTATCAGACCCTTGCTGTGTGTCTTCTGGTTCTTTTCTCCTGAGCTGGATTTCCCTGCCAACTCTCTGTACTTCTGTTTGCTCAGAGGTAACTCTGACCCTTTCTGTCACCGTCCAGGAATCTTCTTCTGCACCTTTACTTCTGATGGGTTTTTCGGATCATTAAAATAAAAGCAGTCAGAACTTACTAATGTTATTAATGTGAATAATGTATGACTTTATTTATGGTACTGATGAAATAGGAGTATTATATACCTAGTATTTGTGTTTTGTATATGTCTAATGGTTCTTGGTATTGAACCTGAGAACTTAAACATGGTAGGCAAGTGCCTTAACAATGAGCTCCTCTATTATGCAAATTTGACATAGACAGGAAATACATACAGAGCTAGTGCAAATCTTGGCTGAATCATTAGACTCATTAAGCAACAAGCCCAAATCTTGATGTTGTAAAATCCATCTTCCACCAAAGACCAACAGTGATTCATATATAGTCTAGAAACTTCTAGTTAGTTATTCTCCTTTAAATCTTTGCAGTAATCTCAGAGATGTAAATAAACTTTCATATTACTTATATCACTTACTAAATAGAACAATATGAAAATGCAGATCATGATCCTACTCTTTGTAGAAAAGCTAATTCCCAGAAGCTATAAACAGCTTAGTACCTAAGGTATTTTCTTGGAAAATTATTTGGAAAGAACTGGAAAAGTGGTATGCTTGATTCTTAAGCCATTCACTACATAGCAATCTATGCATTTTGCTTTTTTTTTTTTTTTGGAGGGTCCGGTCATGGGGCCTGAACTCTGGGCCTGGGTGCTGTCCCTCAGCTCTTCAGCTCAAGGCTATCACTCTACCACTTGAGCCACAACGGGCTTTTTTCTTTTTGCTTATGTGGTGCTGAGGAATCGAACCCAGGGCCTCGAGCATGCAAGGCCACCTTCCCAGCCCCTATGCATTTTGCTTTTTGTGTGGTATTTTTTTTTTTGGTTGCTCGTGGGACTTGAACTCTGGGTCTGGGCACTGTCCCTCAGCTCTTCAGCTCAGGTGAGCGCTCTACCACTTGAGCCACAGCGCCACTTCTAGTTTTCAGGTGATTAATTAGAGATAAGAGTCTCATGGACTTTCTTGCCTGGGCTGACTTTGAACCTCAATCCTCAGATCTCAGCCTCCTGAGTAACTAGGATTATTGGAGTAAGCCACCATTGCCTGGCTCCTTTTGTGTAGTTTTTTTTTTTTTTTTTTTTGGGTCCGGGCGGGGGGCCTGAACTCTGAGCCCGGGCACTGTCCCTCAGCTCTTCAGCTCAGGTGAGCGCTCTACCACTTGAGCCACAGCTCCACTTCCGGCTTTTTTTCTGTTTGCTTATGTGGTGCTGAAGAATCGAACCCAGGGCCTCGAGCATGCAAGGCAAGCGCTCTACCACTGAGCCACCTTCCCAGCCCCTTTTGTGTAGTTTTAATGAAGAATGTAAGCATCACTCTATGGAACAAGGATAAGAGAAGAAGCAGAGAAAAAGAATGCAGGACAACTCTGAAATTCATGAAAGCAGCAGGACTCTCTGGAATTATAATTCAGAAGGAGGTGGCTTGTTAGAAAGGTGGTAGGATGAGGGAGAGGCTGATGGATGTTCTTCATGGTGGTGTCAGTGAAGGGGAGGGAAAGTTCCCACAGAGATTTGATCTCCATTCATGTTTCAAAGCATGGGGAATACATACAAGGACCCCTGGCCACATGAGGATATACAATATCTCCTATTTACATAGATGTGAGTATTACAAGAAGGTGTCTTGGGTCTTGCTTGTACAATATGGCTTGGATTTGAGGCTGAGATGGAAGTTCCTATCACCTTTCCTAAGCTAAGTCTGAGGACATACACACCAAGAAGTCCCACTAGAGGGAAACAAAGCAGAGAGAGCAGGAAGAAAGGAATGGAAGGGACTTTAGAGAAACTAAAGGGAAGAGGCGGGAAAGGAGGGAGAGAGGGAAAAAAGTAAATAGAGATACAAACATTGGGCCTCCCAAATGGATTGTGAGTCAGATTCTCCCATCATTCACAGGAAGACACGTTGGGTGTGAGGATAGGCCATAATGCTTCACTAAGAAAAGCCGGATTTTCTCAAGAAGAATGCAAGAAAAGGCAGGTGAACACAAGTCAGAAAAAGAGAGCACTAAGTGTTCTAGTCTTAATAATGACAACTTCTGAGCCCTTAAGTTTGAACAAGAATGGACTGGGCTAGCAAAACTTTTCCTACAATGGAGGCTCTTCCTAAATAGAAAAAGGAGTAGAAGTTCCTCTGGTAAGGAACAATGAGCGAGACATGAAGAAACTCTTAACTTCCTCCCTCTTAATAACTACTTTGGAAATTGCGTCCTTGAAGGCGTGGCTTTGCTATCCAATAACTGCATGGTTATTTTCAATTGCAGATGGGCTATGCCTCTACCACCACACTTCTGAGTGATGACATTGAGTTTTCAACTTATTTCCGCACAATAGCAAGTGATAAAATCCAGGCCCATGCGATGGTCAAACTAGTCCAACACTTTGGCTGGGTGTGGGTGGGCACCATCGCATCTGATGATGATTATGGAAAATATGGAGTAAAGGAGTTTAAAGCAAACTTAGAGGGGCTCAACATCTGCATTGCGTTCTCTGAAACCATCCCCAAAGTCTATTCCAATGAGAAAATGCAAAAGGCTGTCAATGCTATTAAAGGCTCCTCCGCCAAAGTCATCGTGCTGTATGCCTCTGATCTGGACCTCAGTCCCTTCGTGCTGGAGATGGTGTACCACAACATAACGGACAGGACATGGATAGCGAGCGAAGCATGGATCACCTCGGCCCTCTTGGCAAAACCTGAATACTTCCCCTATTTTGGTGGAAGTATTGGGTTTGCAGTGCCAAGAAGTGACATCCCGGGGTTGAAAGAATTTCTTTATGACGTGCATCCCAGCAAGGATCCAAATGATGTCCTGACCATCGAATTCTGGCAGACAGCATTTAACTGTACTTGGCCCAATAGCAGTGTTCCTTACAATCTGGACCACCGAGTGAATATGACCGGGAAAGCGGACCGACTGGAGGCCACATCTGATCGGTTGTGTACTGGAGAGGAGAGGCTGGAAGATCTTAAAAATACCTACCTGGATGTGTCTCAGCTGAGAATCACAAACAATGTCAGACAGGCTGTGTACGCCCTGGCTTACATCATGGAGTTTCTTAGCAAGTGTAAGGCTGGAATTCCACCAGAAGCTAACAGTAGATGTTCCGAATTAAAAACCATTGAACCCTGGTCTGTAAGTATTGCATGATCTCATGATAGCTTAAAAAGTATTAGAATTCAAGGTGTTACATTACCTCTTTGCCCTTGTACTTAGTAGACAGAAATGAAAAGAAAAAATGTTCCTAAGTGATCCTGACCGAAGAGTCACTCTGTTATACACTCACAGGTGGATCCTACGTGACCTGAGAAGAATAGGCAGTAAAAATGGGAGAAAAGACACCCAAGTGACCTGCAGTATACGTCAAAGGCAGGGCTTTCCCTGGCAGAATCACGATTGTTAAGGTTTTCAGAGAAAGGCAACGTTTTATGGCATGTTTTATTCACTTTTTATAAACTAAAAAATGAGTGCTTACTTAGTGTATGTTTTGTTGGGTACCACAGTACTTGACAGAGCCAACAGGACTCCACATCTGCCATCTTTCCGCTAAGCGGTGTGGCCCTCCTGGTTTGGGGAGGGGTGGGGGCTGGACTGGCCCCTCTGACAGGGGACCTGGGTCCAGCATGTGGGATGTGAGCCTGGATCTCTCCCTGTGCAGGTGTGCTCCCTTCTCACCAAGGCAAACAGGTTGCTGCCTGGGCAGGGTCACCTGGCGAGGCAGGCCCTAGAGCTCTGTGATCACGGAGGATTCTGTGGCTGGCTGTTTACCCCTGTGTGGTGAGGATCCAGTCCATCACTGCTGTGCCCTGGGCCGTGGCCTCTTCCTCCCTCCTCTGTTCAAGTGTAGGTTGCAGAGGCACAGCCATTTCTTAACCTAGAACTTTCTTCTCACACATATTTGCCCATTGACATCTACTGATTCTTTTTTTTTTTTTTTCTGTTGGTCGTGGGGCTTGAATGCTGGGCCTGGGTTCTGTCCCTTAGCTCTTCAGCTAAAGGCTAGCGCTCTACCACAGCACCACTTCTGGTTTTCTGGTGATTAGTTGGAGATAAGAGTCTCATGGACTTTCTTGCCCAGGTTGGCTTTGAACTTTGATCCTCAGATCTCAGCCTCCTGTGTAGCAAGGATGACAGGCATGAGCCACTGGTGCCCAGCTTCTACTGATTCTTTTTAAACCCACTTCACATGGCTACTTCCTGGAAAGTTGAAAGTTTCCAGTGTTCCTGAGGCAATTATCCAGTCTTTACCCATGCCTTCTCGACAGTTTTCACAGTGGACATGTAGACGATGTCGAGTGTTACTGTTAGTTCCTGCTTATTGTCCCCTAGTCTGTGAGCTTTTTGAAGGTAGGATTTATATTCATTATTCTTCATATCCCTAACCCTGATACCTAGGAAGGAGAGGTAGAGCAATTGTTTGTTTTTGCTAGCTGCTAGATGCAGGAGATTTCTAGGAAAGAAGTCAGACTGTTCCCTTCGCTCTTGGTAGGGAGGTGTTAGGAAGCATTGGTATCAGTTATACTTTAGCACAACCCAGTGTTATTCCCATATAGATATGCAAATTTCTACCAGACCCTGGTGGTTTATACATAGCTACTATGGATGATAGGAGCTGAGGATTACAAAGCTGGCCTGGGCAGGAAAGCTCATGAGACTATTATTTCCAATTAAATACTAAAAAAAAAAAATCCAGGAGTAGAACTGTGGCTCAAGGGGCAGTGCTTTAGCCTTTGATAATAAGGCTTCAGGTGAGACCTTGAGTTTAAGCGCTTAGACACCATATATATATATATATATATATATATATATATATATAAATTTCATAGACCACACAAGCCTACGAGAATTTTCTCATAACTGAACTAACAAATATGAAACAGATAAATTACATTTAATAATTTTCTTAATACATGTAAACTATTTAAGAATTTTCTGAATATTATTGCCTATAAAATAATGTGACATTATTAATGAACTAGTTCCCATCAACTTCTTATGTCTTTGTAATCAGTGTACATTTTACACTGATAGCCTATCTCAATTTGGCAATGTACTTTTCAAGTCTGATTTGGTTTTTCTGTCTAGGGGCTGTTATGTTAGGACTGATAAGAGGGAAAAAAATAATTGGTTAGACACTCATTTGGAATTGTATTTGTCATAAAACTGTACTCTGTAGACAACTAAGTTTTCAAGGTTGCTTTTTCCCTTCCCTGTCCCATGGCCTCCTTAGCTTGTTAACACTCTGCATTTGACCTCCTACAAGATTCTTGATGAAATCCCCGTGAAATTTAAAAGTAGTGGAGATATCACATCTGGACACTATGATATTCTAAATTGGCAATTAGAAGGCAGCAAAGAAGTCGTCTTTGTGAAGGTGGGAGAATATAAATTCGACGAGTATAAAGTGGAATTCATTCTCCCAAGGAATTCTACCATATTTTGGAATACTGTGTCATCGAAGGTCAGTTGCTCAGGAACCTCCTCTGTCCTGTTTTTACTGCTACAATACTGTGATGGTTTTCTTAAGCTTTTGATTATTGATCTTACAAAATGATGGCTTACCCCATGATATTTCCACATACAGGATCATGCGCATGATGTACTTTGTACTATTAGTCTTTCCTCTCCATTTCTCCCATCCTCATTTATTTTTTATAATCATTGTGTGATTTCATCATGAGTCTTCACAGTGCCTACAGTGTTCTGGAATCATCCCCTCCCCAGCACACTTCCATTCTCTCATCTGTTGCTCTTTTCCACCCACACCCTCCCCCTTGTACATATGTTTCCCTTCCATGACTTTTACAGACCTACGCTGCACGGTAAAGGTCTGGCTTATTCTCTGTAGTCCGATGATACTGAGTTCCGTAGATTTTTAGGCACATGAAGTCAACCACTCCTCTTTGGGGCTGAACACAATGCCATTTTTATATATGCCACATTTTATTTCTGAAGTCACTGTTGTTGGGTATTTAAGATCATTCCACAACTTGGTTATTCTGAATAATGTTACCGTAAGTATGGGTATGTTGCATCTCTACTGTATGCTGATTTACATTTCCATGGTATAGCCTCAAGAGTAGTCATTTTTTGGAGAAACCTCCATATTGATTTCTATAGTGTCTGGGTTAATTTACGTCTCAGCAGAATCTTTAATGATGGTAAATAAGGCATATATGTGTGTGTATATGTGTGTGTATGCGAGCTATCCCGGCATATACATGCCCGTAGACAGACAGACAGACAGACAGACAGACAGACAATGAGGCGTATCCTCAATTCCTGAGTAGATAGGACTATGGACTTGCCATGGTTACCTGGCAAGCTTTTTTAGGCTTAGTGTGATCTTATTTGTCAGGACTTCCTGTTATTTGCTGAGTTCCTGGGGTTTCAGGAAGTTGTTATTCATGTCTCTATTTTTCCATCTTTTCTACTGTATTAGTTTCCAATGCTGCTTCTACTTTGGCTTGATTTTAATAATGAGCAGCAATAGATTGGACTAGTTTCAGTCTTCCGCATATGAATATCAATTTCTCACTAGACCTTTTATTGAAGAAGCTCTCTTTTCTCCACCATACGTTTCTGGTACTGATTATGAGCTTATATTTGGCTTTTTATATTCTATTCTATGATGTGCCTGTTTTTGTGGCTAGCATGCTGCTCTTGTAACTACAACTCTGCAAGTCTGTAGTGTAGTTTGACACCTGGAATTGTGATACATACACTGTTCTTCTTTTTGGCTGAGTAATTTTTGGCATGCTTCCACATGCACTTTATGTTCGAGTTTTCTACCACTATAAGGAATATCATTAGAATTTTGATGGACATTCTATTGATTCAATTACCTTTGGAAATAGAGTGATTTTCATCCTATTGTTTCTGCCAATTCATGAGCAGGGAGTTCTTGCCATCTTCAAGTGTCTTCTTGTATTTCATTCTGTTTTCACACTGAACACACAGGGAAGCATAGAAGGCTCTTGGCAGAAAAAGTGTCATGATCTGACTTAATGGGCTATAAGATGGTTTTGTCTGCTATGTTGATAGTAGAAGCAGAAACAACAACAAAATGAAATTTAAAAGCCAATGGAACCCAAGGGATGTGCCATTTCAAGGAGTATTGTTTAAGAATGATGAATACTGAGCAGAGACAAGGAAGGACATGGCATGAGTAGGGCCCCAAGACAGTGCCAGAGGGTTTCTGTGATGGGTGGGTTGGAAGGCAGATTCTAGAGGTCGAGAGTAGAAAGACTACTTAGAAATGGAAAAGAACATTATCCATGGTGAATTTTTCTTGACTGGATCTAGAATGAGGAAATCCATTTCATTGCATGTTTATATTATTGCTTATTTTTCAAAGTTTAATAATGAGTTGTATCAATTCCCATCTGTAATATCTACATCTCAAACTGCTTTGAAAGTATTAACTCTCATCTATGTATGTATATATGTTTTGTCTATGTATTATCAACCTATTTAAAACTTTGTAAGAATTCTAATACATATAATATTTCTGTTACATCTACTAGTTCTGTAACATTGCATCTCATTACTTATTTCAGAGAGTTCTAACATGCGTTGTATTATCTTATTTGCTCCAAAGTTCAGGATGACTGTCCTGACTTCCAGAATCAAGGCACATATCATTATTCATGTCCAGGTGAACTTTTTCTTAATGGAAATTGTATTTGTTCTCTCATTTAAATAAAAGTTTCCCAGTAGATTATGGGATCGATTATCTTATAAACATTGAATTTACCCAAAATTTGAAAGTATATGACCATGTAAAAATAAAAGGAGGTCTGTGTTTGCTGATAAACTTTGTAAACTTATTTAACAGAAAAAGATTCCAGCACAATGTGCTGTCTGCTTTCCAGATTCTGCCTCCCCTGTTTTACTGTAGAACAGATGTTTTCATTTTTCTTCCTTCCACTCACCACATATGACCTGTCTTTAACATTAAAATATTTAGATTTCTTTAGATTGTCTTTCTGAGAAGAAGTACTCTCCAGGTTCCCAGGAAGACGTCGGGATCACAGACCCTGGTCAGGTTGTGTTTGTCTTTGCCAGGTTCCGCATTCGGTGTGCACCGATCTGTGTCCCCCTGGGTCGCGGAAGGTAATTGAGTACGGGAAAGAGATCTGCTGCTTTACCTGTGTCCCATGTGCTGATGGATATGTGTCTGAGAAACCAGGTACAGACAGGCATTTCCTCCTTGATACCAAAATGTCACTAGGCTATGTTGGAAAGGCAGCCACAGAACCCTCTGCACAAAGGTCTGAGGGATGCATCACAAAAACCAGTTAATCTCCATTATGTTGCGGGATGTTTTGGGTCATGTGGAAGGAACCATAATTTAAAATTTTACTTCTACAGCTGATGTAAATGGGACAAGGCCTACACATATCCAATTTGCAAGAAAATAAATCACAAATATTATGACCTGTGAAACATGACAATTAAATTCATAAAAGACTTTAGATTGTTTTCAAAAGAGGTTAACCATTTATTCTTACTTGGAAAAGAACTATAGTTCTTTAGTTTACTGAATTATCTCTGTTTTGGAACTCTAAGGAGCAGGGTGACATTTTTAAAGTTCATAGCCACAAAGCCCGAGGTACAGGAGTTCTCTGACAACAGCTCTCTGAATTATTCATAACAGCCTGTATAGTCGCTGCTGTGCCTGGGCAGAATTTTCCCACACATGAGGGTTCAGCTTCAGGCAGCCCAGGGACAAAACTTTATTTTTATTTCTTCCTTCTGTTAAGGATAACATTGTTCTTAGTTCTTGCCTAATGATCTCCAATAGCAATTCATAGTTAAGAGAATTTAAAAAATGTGAAATTGCCTCAAACTGAAAAAAAAAACCTCAAACCATCAAAAAAAATGTTGCAGAAACAGGCAATTCAGGGAAAGGTTGAACTAAGAACAAACCATATATTTGTAAAACTGGAAATGTTTGTTAATCTATAATATCCCCTGCAAAATTTAAGGACATTTACCATCACAGGTTTTGAGATGCTATGTGTGTTCCACAGAAGGGAATTTTCATGCATCCTTGCTCCAGGCCTTTGAATGCTCGGAGCTGTTTACAGTCACAGGATTTCCCTGCAGTGAACTCTCTCATTCCTTCACCAGATAAGAGGGAGTGCACGAAGTGTGGTGAGGACTACTGGTCTAATGAAGACAGGAGCAAGTGTGTGCTCAAAGAGGTGGAATTCCTGGCCTATGACGAGGCCCTGGGCTTCACCCTGGTCATCCTGTCCATCCTCGGGGCCCTGGTGGCGCTGGCGGTCACCGTGGTCTATGTGCTCTACAGGAGGACTCCCCTGGTGCAGGCCAATGACCGGGAGCTGAGCTTCCTCATCCAGGTGGCGCTCCTCATCATCATGCTGTCCTCTCTGATCTTCATCGGCAAGCCACACACCTGGTCCTGCAGGGCCCGCCAGGTCACTCTGGCCCTGGGCTTTACTCTTTGCCTCTCCTCCATTCTGGGAAAGACCATTTCACTCTTCCTGGCCTACAGAATTTCTGCCTCCAAAACTCGGTTCCTCTCCATGCGCCCCGTGTTTCGCAAGCTCATCGTGTTGCTCTCCGTGCTGGTGGAGACTGGCATATGCATCGCCTACTTGCTGATGCGCCCCCCGAGGGTGTACAAGAACATGGAGTCTCAGGTGATCAAGATCATTCTGGAGTGCAACGAGGGTTCTATCGAGTTTTTGTGCGTCGTGTTTGGGGTCGACGTCTTGCTGGCCTTCCTGTGCTTTCTGAGCAGCTTCGTGGCTCGCCAGCTGCCAGATAATTATTACGAAGGCAAATGCATCACTTTTGGCATGCTGGCCTTCTTCATCATCTGGATCTCTTTTGTGCCCGCCTACTTGAGCACCAAAGGCAAATTCAAGGTGGCCGTGGAGATCTTTGCCATCCTGGCATCCAGCTACGGTTTGTTGGGCTGTATATTTGCTCCCAAGTGCTTCATCATTTTGCTGAGGCCGAAGAGGAACACAGCCGAGACAGTTGGGGGAAGAGTGCCCACTGCAGATAAGAGCATCCAGCTGACGTCTGCATCTGTGAGCAGTGAGCGGAATGAGACCGCCGTGTCCACAGTTCTGGATGACTAGCATGGGCAGGACACCTGTCCTGCCAAGTCCCAGGGTGACTTGCTTTTGGGTTGCTTGTGTGGCATCTGCCCATGCTGAGGGCAATACAGAGGACGGGGGCTCTAGTGGGATAGTCCTAGTACGATAAATGTAGTTTCATTCTGCACCATTCCATTTCGCATGAATTAGAATACCTCCTGCTGTTGAATCTGAAAACTACTTTATTGGAACTTCTCTTTAGTATTGCATAGTAGAAAACACAATTATAGAACTTACGGTGATAGAAAAACTGACTCGTACTATGTTTTGGTTCCATACTTATGACTATGTGTTAAAAAGATACATTAAAGAGCATAACCTGATAAGGATCTAAAAAGCCACTTTTTCCTCTATAACCTAAACCTCCTGGAGAAATAAGATGAAAAATGTTGCTATAGTAGTTAAGTAGATTATAAACTAAGGATCGTGGTCACACAATAGCAGATGTGAGTTGCCAGTGTTAGAATACAGCGTTTGTGGGGCTGGGAAGGTGGCTCAGTGGTAGAGCGCTTGCCTTACATGCTCAAGGCCCTGGGTTCTATTCCTCAGCACCACATAAGCCAGAAGTGGCGCTGAGGCTCAAGTGGTAGAGCGCTAGACTTGAGCTGAAGAGGTGAGGGACAGTACCCAGGCCCAGAGTTCAGGCCCCACAACCAGACCCCCCCCCAAAAAGAATACAGCGTTTGTTTTATTTTTTATTTATATTTATTTATTGCTGGTAGTTGGGCTTGATTTCAAGACCAGAGCACTTTTCCTTAGCATTTTTGTTCAAGGCTTGTGCTGTACCATGTGAGCCACTCCCATACCTCCAGGTTTTTCCTGGTTAATTGGAGATAAAAGAAAGTGTTTTCTGTTTGAGCTGGCTTTGAATCTCAATCCTGAGATGTCATCCTCCAGAGTAGCTTGAATTACAATCATGAACCATTTTACCCAGCTACAGGCACATTCAGAGAGACTTACTAGGCCTCTAAATGTGCAGAATTAACTGGAGTTTTAGTCTCATGTAGAAACGTTCTATGTCATCTAAACATGAAACTGTGAAAATGACCTGTTTGTCTTTATGTGCATATGAATTAAACGTATGGAAACAAAGTTTATAGAAATGCTGCTAAGTCTAAATGCCTGAGAACATCTGGCTTTAGAAATCTAACAGGATCAGAAGGAGGCCTGCCTTCAAGGGAGCTCAATTATCTCTCAAGCCTCAGCAAACTTCTCTGGTGGAGACGCATGCAGGCTGGTGGGAGCAGAAAGCGGGCTCTGATCTCCACCTCAGCAGGATGAGTCTGTCAAGAATGAGTTCAGTGAATTTTAAATCATAATCATATCAGATGGTTGAGCTGCTGTAATTAAAACAGGAAGTTTCTGCTCAGAAGCGAGCAGCTTGTTTGAAGGCCGGTGATACATCAGTGAGCTCTGGAGAAGGTTCTGTTCCCCTCTGTCCTCAGCACTTCCATAGTGCTCTGCTCCACAGCCCTGTAACAGGAGAGGCCAGCCTATATTTGAGTATGAAGAGCTTTCTTCAGCCATTCATTCACTCATTTCATTTCTAGTCTCTTTGGCTTTAATCCACAAGGGTTTCTTTTGGGAAGGAGAGGGCGAGTTCTTAAAGTACAGAATAAGAGGAAAGTCAAAATAAAAATGGGAAGTCATTTTCTTTTTAGTTAAGCACAAATATTGTTGAGCATTCAAAGACAAAATGAACCTTTTATACTTTAGTACTAGTGAAACCCCTGTGGACATCAATATGGAGTTTCCTCAAATAATGCAAAACAAATCTAGCTCCAGGCCCCGGCATGCTATATATAAAAAGATAGCTGCATACCTGTGATTATTGGAGCATCTTCACATGAATCACGTATTCAATAGCCAGTAAATGGGTAAAGAAAAGATGACACATGCATATTACAGAATATCACTTAGCTAGAAAGAAAATGATAAACTATGTTATTTTGGGGGAAATGGGGAGATGGGAGATCCCACATTGGGGGAGATAGGCCACGCCGTGAAGTCACACACTCCATGTTCTTACTCATTTGTGATAACAAGACCTAAAACAAGAATGAGGAAGAGGAGGAGGAAGATAGAGAATGAATAATTCTCATAGGACACTCGTGAAAGAGGACCGTCTGTGGTGAATCAGCGGGTGGGGGAGAGGGAAAGGTGAGGATAAAGGGGCAAGGTGCTGGAGGGGGCAGAATTCACCACAGGGAAGTGGAACTGGCAATCATGGTTTGCTATGGAGGGAGGTGGGAATGAAGTACAAGGGAAGGGAGTGAAACAGTTGGGTTTGCTATGTGTGTGGGAACATCACAGTAAGCCACCTCATGTTATTCCTGCATGCTAGCTACAAGGAAAAGCTGGAAGCTGGCTCTCAGCTAGTGACCTGGCTTGCTTTTGTACAGAGAATATTTCTGATTCAGGGAAACCTCTCTCTGTTCTAAGATGCTGGTCATTGAACATAGGATCTTTTTTTTCTTTCTTTTTTCTTTTTTTCTTTGCAGATCCTGGGTTTTGAATTTAGAGCACAGTCCTTGAACTTTTGTGCTCACTTCCAGATTTTTGGGTAGTTTAGTGGAGATAAGAGTCTCACAGACTTTCCTGCCCGGGCTGGCTTTGAACTGTGACCCTCAGATCTCAGCCTACTGAGTAGCTAGTGTTATAGGAATGAGCTAGTGGTGCCCAGCCTAAACATATGATCTTTAAAAAATAATAATCCTGAAGTTAATATGCTTGACACCAAAAGCTCCATTCTTGCCTTTTATTCTACATTATTCTGTAGTACTGTCTCATCAGACTGCTCTTTGCAATTATCTTTCTAATTCAGGAAATTGGAGAAAATAGATGCCCTCTAAAACAAAATATCAATTGTACTTGCTTGTTTCTTTATGATGTTTCCCTTAAAAATCAAATGTATTTTCTCCTTAGATGAAGGTATCATTTTAATATTATTTCTAGTGAAAAACACTGAAATCTTTGTTCAGGTCCACATAGATTGCTTTCTAGGAGAATATCCTTTGGAAATCACTTTGGAGATTGGTGGTTGTGGCTGCCGTGTTTCCTTGTAATTCGTCCTGGGACTTGGGGAGCGGCTCAGAATTGATTTCAGGGTGTTACATCAACTTTATGTGGTTGCTGGCTTAGGGAGTAGCATGAAGTCTAACTGCATGAAACCAAAGTACAAAAGAATCCTACACCCAGGGTGACCTACATAGAAGCAGGGTTGAGTTCTTGTGTTAATAGAAATATTCATGGCCCCTAGCACAAGGTTAATTCCTTGCATTAAGGCAAAGAAAAATCCTGATAGAAGTCAACTTTCATGAAAAAGGATGAGATACTCCAATGACCAGAGTCAGCTCTGTGAAACTCAGTCAGCTCATTGCTTCCCTGCTGTTTGACCCCCAACAATGCCCCACTATTTACGAGAAGGTGTGAGCGTAGCTGTCTGTGTCTGATATCAATGCCTGTCTGAACTGTTCATCTTGTCTTTCCAACTTATCGTGCATCCCACACTGCACTTGTGCAGTTCCTGGAGCCCATTTCTGATTTTCTCAGTTCTGTGTTACTCACCCTTTACCCCTTTTCCATTGGTGTTCCAATAGTCACCTGTATATTCACGCATCTGTTTATGTATCCTCCATCCATTCGTGCGCGCATCTTCATCGGTTTCCCATGCATCCACCTTTGACGGCTGGAAGTGCACCAGAATTAGAGTTAGACAAGGAAGGTCTGGACAGACAAGATACCGCCATCATGTTCCATGTGCTTGCCACCTGGCTGAGGTTGGTAGGAGGAGGATGCCCAAGCTGTGCTATGACAGCATCCCCGGGAGGAGGGAGGAGGTGGGCCTGGCGAGGGGAGAGTCCGGGAAGGGTTCCTGAAAGAGACAACACGTATACAAAACTCCTGGACAAACAAGAGGAAACAGTTGTGTGAAAGAAAGACCAACCAACACAGGCAATCTACCCGCCCTAGTCCAAATAGCACAGGGAGTATGGGCAATGACAGCTTCTCTTCCATTCATTTATGTTCTTAATGTTAGATCCCAGGGCTATGTGCCTCTTTTATACCAGAGGCCATTTTCTACCTATAATGGGCTTCATTTCCTGTCACTCTCACTACATTACAATTATTTTTCTTGATGGGAAATTGGGATTCATGTCTATCAACAAGTCTACAATATACCTTGCACTTACCTGGTGCTGGTGCCTAATTATTTTATAGATGGCTGAATAACATTATTAAAATAGCTAGCCAGTAGTCTTGCAAGGCACAGGAGCAATATTTTCCATGTAAGGTGGGGAGTTAATGCTGGGCACCTGGAGCCTGGCAGAGGTGAGGGAGGGAGGGCAGGGGCCTGCAGCCCAGCAGGGGTGAGGGAGGTTGGGCAGGGCCTGGAGCACCTGGCTGCCATTGTGAACAGGAGCTGTGTGCAATATCTGAAAACACAGTATAGGTGAACGTCCCTGGAGATGTGCTCATGTTCAGAAGATTGTGTGCTATTTCTTGGGTACTTTTGGCAAACCAGTTTGTGTGGAGAAGACATAGCGCACGAATTTGAGCAAACGATGAATAATGGTGCAACAACGGAGGAAACCAATCCCCAGACTTAGCAGCCTATACAGCCAGCATTGGAACTCACAGGACACAGCTCCTCTGGGTCTCTGTAGTGGAGATGCAGAGTGGCCATGGGCTCTCTCCTCACCGTCCTCTGCCATCCTCACTACAGTCTTCGGCACTGAGGGATGGCAGCTCATAAATGGCTGTGCCTGTGGCTCCTGGCGAGTTTTGTCACAGGAGACACCGCCAGGAGGCAGGAGGGGGCAGGGGGTGGGGTCTTTGCTTCATTCTTGCATCTGTGACCACTGTGGCATAGCCACAGGTCTCGCCACCTCCTTTCAGTCCTGCCTGTCTCTCTCAGGCTAGGATGTGGTACTTGTGCAGCTGTTGCAGCCTTACCCTTGGCCACTCCTGTGGAGGAACCC